TTGGGGCTTTAGTTTGCATGGCACATGGGATGATACTGGTCAATGATTTTCGAGTCGGCGCAATGATCTTTATTTTGGCCATTGATCTCTCAGTCAGTGCTCATGGCCTGATTTGGGCCATCCTGGCCATCCATTCGAAGGCTCTTGTAGGATGTGCTCATTTCTTGGGGAACGAGGGGGTATAGAAGAGGTAACAAGTGGAGCAAACATGGTCGTTGATGGGACCAATGTTGCAAAAGTTACTGATGGAGCCATCTGAGCTGGCCATCTAATCGACGGCCATCTAGCAAGGGGCAGAGGGCAGTAATTACTCTGGTTTTCTCGCTAGCAGCTCACTAGCATTTGGATCTTGAAAGTGGGTGATAGTGGCTGAGTAGTGTTTGAGCGTGGCTTTCTTGGAATTTGTGGGGGGCTACTAATGTTTGAATTTGGGCAGGAGTGGTGGAAATTTGGATTTGAATTTAGATGATCCATAGGTGGTGACTGGCAGGGTAGCACGGGAAGGGGATTATCGATGGGACTAGGGAATCTGTCTTCCTTCAGTCATGAGTCGCATGCAGATTTGACTTGTCCAAGGTCTGGGAATTCAATGGTGGGGATTGGTCTCTTGTGTGGTTAGGAATCTGATTGGAAATTGAATTTTGATAAGCTTCGAGTTTTGGGGTTACGACCTGTATGGGAATTCATAATGATGATGGTAAGAATGTTTGGGAGATGGAAATTTTTGTGTGCGCTTGTGTCCCATAGTAAACAGGCAGTGACCTTTCTTTGGATCAACATATCTCTCCTTTCTCCAAGTCATCTTCATCTTTTGTTATGTTGTTGGCAATGTTAAAAAATGCGGATTCGGTCGCCTAGGCACCTGCCTAGAGATAGAGTGCCCTCACCAAAATTGGAACCCCCCACCCCAAACAAAAAAAACAGGGTAGTTCTTAGGGCATAAAGCCTTAGGGACTTAGGGCAATTTTAGAGCCCCAAACTTCTCGTGATTGTGAAATAAACGAAAACATAATATAACATTACAATACTGCAATCACATAACAAATTTACAAATGATATGAGTTTCAAAGAGATTGTAACTTGTAAGACATTAAAATGCTTGAAATCCCAAATGTCATTGTAGAAAACTAGAAGTCTAGACTTGAAACAATACACAAAGGCAGCAAGGAAAAATAAAAAAAATGTAAATATATACTCTATTTCATTGTCCAAATGAGAAAAAATTTAATTAATCACAAAAAAATCAATCTTTAAACTACAAACATGTAAATATATTGTAAAAGAAAAAAAAAAGTAAAAGGAAAAAAAAAGTAAAAGAAAAAACATATGATTCATAACATAATATGTTGTAGCAAAATAAAATCAAAACCCTCTTTCAAATATAAAAATACTTTAAAAATATTAAAATCAAATGGATGTCGGTGCAAACCTCATCTATTGGGTCAACTACTAGAAGCTCCATATCCACCCACGAACAATTGCCTTTATTTTGGGAAGAAATAAAAAAAATAAAAAAATTATCGATCTTTCGATAAATCACAAAAGAGTGGTTTTTCTCGGCCATGTTTTTTGTTTTGGGGGTTTGGAATACCCCCCAAAACCCTTTTCCCCCCTTTTAAGGGGGGGGGGGGGAATTACATTTTCTGACCCTCACCGAGGGTTTTCTTCCACCTGTCCACAAAGCATCACGGGGCGGCTCTTAAGCAGGCGTCCAGACATTAGTGCTGATGCGGCACATTGCCTGTCTAGGCGGGCGCCCAAAGATATGGCGCATAACGACCCCGCCCAGACAACACCTAGGCGTTCTTTAAATTTTTTCGCCTAGGCAGTCGGGGGGCGAATTTTCGAACACTAGTTGTTGGAGTTTCGAATTTCAAGCAAGCTCTTCATGTTCTGAGATCTTTCCAGTGATCAACTACCTACTTGCCTTTGATCGCTTTGAATTGCCCTTTATCTGCTCTCTGTATTGATACTTGATTTGATGACTCCAACCTTTGGACCTTGCTACCCTTTTAATGTTCTATGCAACCAGAAACTCTGATTGAGCAAAATTAGTCTAATAGATTTGGGATCAGGGCTGGTTCGAGGACTTCTGCTAGAAATTGGAGGCAGGACCCCTATAAACTTCCAATTCTCCTTTAAGAACTTACAACTATTACCATCTCTTTGAAGACTTAGATCTTCCATTTATGGAAGAGGATGCCATGAACATCCATGTCTTATGGATTCTTGAGGCACCTAATGATGGATGCCAAGGTTGCAGACGAAGGATGATTTCAACACCTGTAAGGCATTTTCTTGAGTGGGGAGGGAAAAGAATGGGCTACTGTAATGCACCAACCTTGTAGAGCCTTTCAGTTTGGGACGGTGCTCTCTTGGCCCAAGCATTGATCTCCTTTAGGTCATTTATGGGAGGATCGATGATCCCCACGAGCGTCATCAACTGAAACAGGGAATCCCTTTCTTGACTAATATTCTCTTCAAATTGGGATGGTTTTGGCCGCTTCACAGGGAATGGGATAGTGTCGAGGAGAATGGGCGAGCCAGGGGGGGACAAATGGATTAATTGACCCGGTCTGCAAGCTGCTGTCGGGGATTTTTCGTTGTCAATTGGATTTTTGAGAGCAGAGGTCATAGATACATTCATAGGATTAGGATATCAGAAGTGGAAGAAGATTTGAAGAGGATGAAGATAGGAAAGTCCTTAGGTACAGATGGTATCCTGATAGAGGTTTGGAAATACATGGGGAGATTGACATTGACAGGTTGGCCAAACTATTCAACAAGGAATCGAGAACAAAGAAAATAATAGATGAATGGAGGAAAAGTATTATGATACTTATTTACAAGAACAAATGAGACATACAAAATTATGTGAACTATTGAGGGATCAAACTTATGAGCCACACTATGAAGTTGTGGGAGAGAGTGTTTGAGCAACTGCTAAGGCATGAAACGAGTGCATCAAAAAATCGATTCGGTTTTATGCCAGGGAGGTCAACAACTGATGTTATTTTCGTACTTCAGCAGATGATTGAGAAGCTTAGGGCAAAGGGAAATGACCTCCACGTGGTCTTTATTAATCTAGAGAAAGCTCATGATAGAATACCTCGAGATTTACTTTGGTAGATCTTAGAAAGAAAGGAGTCTCCAAACACTACATTGACTTGGTGAGAGATATGTAGGAAGGAGCACTAACTAGTATTCCAATAACTAGTGGAGAGACAAGTGAGTTTTCAGCGACAATGAGTCTACATCATGAGTCAGCGTTGAGCCCATACCTCTGTCTTAGTTATGGACGACTGAACTAGGCACCTACAAGATGAGGTACCATGGTGTATATTGTACGACATAGTTTTGATCGATGAGACCCGCAATGATGTCAACACAAAGTTAGAACTTTGGAGGGATGCTTTAGAATCTAAAGTATTTAACATTTAGTGGACTATGAAAGAGTATATGGAATACAAGATTAGTAATAATAGGATTAGACAGATGAGGAAGTAGTTAAGATTGATGGCCAAGAAATACCAAAAATAATGCGCTTTCGATATTTTGGGGCGATAATCCAAGAAAATTGAGAGATTGAGGAAGATATTGCACATAGAATTAGAGCTCGATAGGTGAAGTGGAAATATATAGCCGGAGTTCTAAGTGATCTCCACATACTAATGAAGCTGAACGACAAGTTCTATAGGACAGTTGTGAGACCAGCTTTGCTTTTAGGAGGGGAATGTTGGGTAGTGAAGGAACATACCCATAGGATGAGTGTAGTTGAGATGAGTATGTTGAGATGGATGAGTGGCAAGGCAAGAAGGGATAGAATTCAAAATGAAACATTTCGAAGAACTCATGTGCAACGCAGCTTAGTATAGCAACTGTTAGGAGGTGTGAGTTAGTTGAAGTGGAAGGCTCAAAAAGGGCAAGGGGTATACCCAAAAGGCTATGGTTGGAACCAGTGAGGAAGATATCTGGACATTTGGCCTCACTGAGGATATGACCCTTGATAGAGCAGAATGGTAGACCAAAATTCGTATAGCTAACCCCAAATAGCTCTGATGATGATGATGATGATGATACTTACTGGGCTTTCTTGAGTTTGGCCATCGGGATCATTATAGGCTTGATTGGAGGCTTGTTTCTGCAAAGAGTAGGTGGGTTAAAGGTTAGCTTTGTTAAGAGAGAGTGTGTGATGTGGATCCACATGGGCAAATTCTGGGTGACATGGGGCACTTTGCTTGGGTGAATTAACTGGGAATAGTTGTTGTATGGCTTTGGCAGTGGTAGGTTTTCTGCTGGTCTAGGTTGTTTGGGGGATCGTTGTTGTCTAGAAGGGACATTTTGTCTTCTCAACTCATTCGTTTGTCTGAGGTGTGGTTTGGTATTATAAGGTTTTTATTTCATCACCTTTTTCCCACCTTTACCCCAACCTACCTCTTTCCCTCTCCCTCCTCCCCACCCTGTCCCCTGCCAAAAAAAAAAGCAACAATATTCTCCTCTCTATGCTTTTCATTTTCTTCTGTACCTCCTCTCTTCCCATATCTCGTTTGACTCTAATTTTCTCTTTGTATTTTATCGTTCTCATAACTGTATTTAGATCCATGTACAGGCCTTAGTTCTTTGCACAAAAGAGGCTTTTTTTGTGTTTTTGTTTTCTGGTATGTACTTTTTGTGTGAGTGCAGAGCACCTGACCTGGTTGCCTCATTCCCCCCTCAATTTTATTATCTATAAAGTAATGTATTGTCATCAATTTCAAAAAAAAGGAAAATAAAATGTCTCTCAAAAATATGAGTGAAGAGTGCTAGAATCATTGGTATTTCGTTGTTTGTAATTGTCATCTTTATTCAAATTAGGAATTAAAATTTCTTATTTTTAAGTTGTAAAGCTTATGATATGCTATAATTGCCTGAATTTCCAAGAATCTCTCTCTCTTGCTCTATCTATGATGTATTTCTCATATATCATTGAGAATGTCTGCGACTTATGACATATTTTGCAGGACAGTTTTGCAGTTGTTGCGGCTGATGGTCCAGGTGAATATCCTGTGATCGCTGAAGCAAGAGCTGGGAATGATGCTGAGGGAATGATAATCACTCCTGGAACTGTTGCTTATATAACTACTGGAGGTAAGGTCATTCCTGGAAAAGAGTACATTCTTAGTTATATAACTGTGTGCTGCAATGTTTCATTAACTTTTATATACTGAAAGATTTTTGATAGTTTTTCTACCAATGTTTCATTAACTTTTATCTACTGGAAGATTTTTAATAGTTTTTGTACCATAAGTTTCCAGTCACATTTCCAGTTGGATCTTCCAATAGTTTTTGTACCATAAGTTTCCAGTCACATTTCCAGTTGGATTACTCGTATGGACATGTTTATATCCATCTGAACATGAAATATGTGTATCTCAATAACATCTGAACATGCAATATGCAGATGACACCTTGGTGCTCCTTGACGTCTCTCCTAGAGAAATTGACACCCTCAAGCTTTTTCTTAAATGCTTCCAAGTAGCGACAGGGTTCAAAGTTAACATGGAAAAATCTAATATGATGGGCGTTGCTCAAATGAATGCAGAAATAAGAGCGATCATTCCTAATTGGGAGTGCCAAGTGGCGGATCTCCCCACAACCTACCTAGGTCTTCCATTGGGACTGGGGAAGCCAAAAGTGAGCTGGGGAAACCAACCACTTCCAGTCACTCTTGGCAGTCTTACACTCGATCTTCATTTGAACACATGGGAGATATGCTATGGCTAAATTTGACGGGCGAATCATGAGCCTCAGCACAGGTCATGGGCGCTTGGTTGGTTTGAGAAGGCCGTTGTGGATCATGGATTTTGGCATTGGTGGAGTGCTTTGATAGTCACTTTTGACCTATTGATATCAATCCACTTCTAGAGGTATTTCTATGTTTTTTTAATTTTATTTAACCCTAAAAATATTGTTTTCAACCATATTTATGCTTATGTGTTTTTTGGATTTTTTAGAGCTTTAAAATTGATTTTCAATGAATAAATGCTCCCTAAAGGTTATTTCTGAATTTTTTTTTTCTAAAAAGGGGTGGTTTTCAAATAATGGTCTTATGTGGTGGGACCCACGTGGGGGGGCTAAGGTCGCAGCCCCTACACATGTGGGGTCCACATGGTGTGGGACGTGGAGCCCCCATGGGCCACGCACCCCACATAGAGTGATGCCCCATTTTTCTCACTAATTTGGGGTATCTTGAGGGTGTCATTTTTATTACAGAAAATATCTTTTTTGGTTAGGTAAAAATATTCATAGATATTTTTTAAGTAAATCTTTTGTGATATTTTTATAGGATCTACATTATTTGGACCATATTTGTTTTATTTTGAAATTCTTAAATATCCCTTGATGAGATTAAAAAGGAATTTTTTAAATAAATCAAGAGATATATTTTGATTAATTATAATCTACATGGATTAGAAGTGGATATGGGTCAAATCTTATGGGATAAGGTTCCTAAATATCTTCTCTAAATCATGATGGCTGGTCTTAGAGATCAATGATTCAGATTATTTATCTCTCACCACACATAGTACTTAAATATTCTAGACAATGCTAAAACCTAATCTGATTGGAACACCTTTGGGCCCTTTAGGCCCCTATAACTAGGGGACTCCCCCTCATTCTTAGTATATCAGCTGTCTCCATCTCTTTCTCCTCTCCATGCCACTCTTCTCTCTCCTCGCTCTCTCTCTCTCTCTCTCTCTCTCTCTAAGGTGGCATGCCACCCTCCATAAGAATTTGGGGTGGCATAGACCTCCCAAGAGAGAAAGGGGGCACGCGCAGCCCAGAGTGGAAAATCCCACAGGATTAAAAGGGTCTAGGAAACCCTAATTGTAATCCTTGCTCTCATCCCCATAGATGTCCGATAAGGGTGTTCCAAATGTGCTTCCCAATTTAGATTGGTAGATTCAGCATGATCTAAGGATCAAGTGAGCCATGGATCGGGTGATCGGGTGTGGCGTGTGTGAAGTCTTAACGGGGTAATCCTTGGCAAAAGTCAAGTAAGCCTTCCCAGTTTATTATTTTATTTTTTCTGTTCTTGATTCATATTTCCTAATTGTGATTTCGAGTTCAATTAACTTTTGAATAAAAGTTTTATTTTGGCAGTAAGTATTAAAAAGATCCTAGATTGTGGTAGGTTTTATTTTTGTGTTGTTTTTTTTTTATTTTTATGGAAATTGTACATAGAAATTCCAACAATTAATAAAAGAAAAAGAAGATATTTTTTGAACTTTATATCTTGCATTCTACATAGCCACTCCTTTCATGCCTCAATAGGCTAGATGCCATACAATGAAACTGTGGATGTGGAGGCCTCAAGGTAAGCTTCCCTAAAGTGGACTTGAGCAGACCTGGACCTGGGTTGTGTTGACCCAACCTTTTGGCATCCCTAGGAGATATCTCCTTAGGCTAGCATATAATCTGGATTATTTGTTTTATTTGTTAAATACACCTGATCACCCAATGCACAAACAAGTGAGCACAATGCAAAAAGAAAATTGTGATTGATGAACAAATTCCGTGTAAGGTCAATATTTTTGTGTGTGTGTGCACATGTGCGCACATGGAGCTTGGTTTTCATGTGGGTTGTGGTCACATTTTTTGGGCCACTCTGGTCCAGGGTCCATTATTTAACCTGATTATGAATTTCTTGTAATTTCTTTCTAAAGTCAATCAATTTCTCTTCTTGGATCACTACTCAGTTTTTTCAATAAGAGACCATAGAGAGTAGGTACTTAAATCTTTTGGTCTTGCTGTTGGCATCATATTCTTTATATCTGTTGTTGCATTTCTGCTTTATATTTAACAAACACTTCATAGATGTAGCATCAATTATTGGCAATGGCATGACTAGTTTTTTCCTTTATAACTGCACTTAGGCAAAGAAAAAAGAACTTCCTTGAAGACTAGACTACAGGTCATGGTTATGAAGGGAAGATATTCCATCTCCCTCAAGCACAAGGATGAGTCCTACTGGTTGTGGGTCGTGTTATGTCAAGATATATTTATTTTCAGCAGATGCCTGAGGCTTATAAATAAATGAAGAAAGCAGAACCAAATGACGCTTTTCTACCCTGTTAGACTGTGATTTGATCTGTGAATAAGATGCACTTTTTCTTTATCAGTTTTGAACTTGTAAGTTCTTCGCATTCTATATCTGAGCATATCACAATGAAACGATGAGATCTTACAGGGCTTCAAACTTTCCTTTGATGTCCCAATGGCGTGCCCTTTGGTGCATCCATGCTTCATATAGCAGAGAGATCTATAAATGCTTGTAACAGTGCAGTTCTAATTTCAAGTTGCAGTGACAAGCCAATTCAATGACTCTCTTACTCTGTTTTTTGTGTTGTAATATACATCTTTAATCTGGCTTAAGGTGTGTGAATCGATGCATTATTTGGGTGTGGTCAATCAAGCTCTTGTTGCACTGGATTTCATCAAAACTCTGAATTTTATGTGTGTACATGTAAGAGATCTTCAATGATGGGTGAAAACGCCATGATAAGCTTGGACTGCCTTCTTGATCTGTTAGGCATGTCCTGGAATAGACATAAGCATTATCTTCATCATCAGATAACGTCAATTCAAGATATATAGAAAGTTTTGGCAAAGTTTTATGTTGCTTGTCCTGGAGTAGACATATCCCATGGAATTTTCAGAGTCCCAAAGAAGAGCAACTCCAAGCTCTCCACAGTTGGGACTTGGTCGAAGAATACCAGCCTCTATCCCGTGAGAAGAGGAACCTTAGAACCCAACCCCATATCGGATACCAGCTCCTCCTCTGTGAGGAGGAAATCTTCTGGTATCAATGTTTGAGGATTAAAAGGTTGAAGCATGCTGATCTTAACACTGCCTTCTTCTACAAAACCACCAATTGCCATAGGCGGGACAACACGATCACCCAGATTAAAGTGGGAGACTCCATTTACGACAACCTTCTCAAGTGGAAGGGGCGATCATTGAATTTTTTGGCGACCTCTTCTCTATTCCCTCAGCCCCTAAACCAAGGATGGCAGATCTCTCCTTCAGGTCCATTCAACCTGGCAAAGTGGCATGGCTTCAATGGTCTTTCACCGAAGACGAGATCTTCAAAGTCATCAACGACCTAGGCCAGGACCAAGCCCCTGGCCCATAAGGCTTCCCGATAGCACTCTTCAAAACCTTCTGGACATCCATCCTGATATCCTATCCTTCTTCAAGGAATGTCATTCTAGAGGCATTATCCATAAGGCCTTGACAGCCATTTTCGTTGCATTGGTGCCTAAGATAGAGGGCATGGAGGAACTTAAGGACTTCATACCCATTAGCCTCATTTATAGCTCTTATAAAATTCTATCCAAGGTTCTTGCCTCTCGCTTAAAAGAGGTCCTAGACTGGGTCATCTCCCCCCAACAAGGGGCCTTTGTCAAGGATAGGCAGATCCTAGATGGAGCCCTAGCGGCTAATGAATGTATACACTCTAGACACCTTGCAGAATCCTTGGAATTGTTATCAAAATTGATTGGGAGAAGGCTTACGATCATGTGGACTGGAATCTCCTGGATGCTTAGAATGGGTTTCGGTAGACGTTGGAGGACTTGGATTAAAAGGTTGCATCTCCTAACCCTTTTTCTCTATCCTAATCAACGGCGCCCCGAGAGGTCTTTTCCCTTCTTCTAGAGGTCTTCGACAAGGGGATCCCCCATCCCCTTTCCTACTCTCCGTGTTGGCAGAGGTTTTCAGCAGGTCCATTGAAAGGATGCACCAACATGGACTACTGGAAAGGTTAAAAATTGGGAGTCAAGGCCAGGTCATCTCCCACTCCAGTATGCTGACGTCACCTTTCTCTTCTGCTGGGCCACCACTCAACAGGTGGACTCCCTCTTACTTCTTCTCAAGTGCTTTGAGTTGCCCACTGGTTTAAGGGTCAATATGGCCAAATCCAAGATGATTGGTGTATCCGTTGATGCCCAAGTGAATAGCCTGCTGTCCACCTTCCTTGGCCTACCCCTCAGTATTGGACTCCTTAGAAAGCAACATTGGAGTTTCATTGGTGGACAAGTTTGAAAGGAAACTGGCTGGTTGGAAAGGCAGATTCCTATCATCGGCAGGTAGAGTCACGCTCATCAAGGCCACCCTCTCTAACATCCCAATTTATCAGATGTCCCTCTTCCATATGCCTGCCTCTGTAGCAAATTGTCTAGAGCAGCTCATGAAGAATTTCTTGTGGTCTGGTCTGGATGAGCAACAAAAATTTCACCTCATCTCTTGGGAAATAGTGTGCCAACCAAGGCACCCAGAGGCTTGGGAATTTGCAACCTGAGAACCAATAATTTGGCCCTTTTAGGTAAATGGTGGTGGCGCTTTCTCATCTAGGATAGCGAACTATGGATTGAGGTGCTCCAACACGAGTACCTTTGTCACTAACCTCATACGCTATCTGATCCCACAAGCACCTGTAGATCCTCTGGGGTCTGGAAATCTATCCTTCCGCTCCCTTGATCTTTTTAAGGCGCACATTTACTTCCACCCCCGGTTGGCCAACAGGGTCAAGTTTTGGCACGATATTTGGCTGGGCAGTTCTCCCCTAAAGGACCTGTTGCCTCTTCTTTTCCAAGTGCCTCTCAAAACAGAATCCATGGTGTCTGACCTCTTTGTACCCCAGGGTTCTTGTCACTTCTGGAATCCAAACTTCCGCAGGCCAGTAAACAACCATGAGGTTGAAGAATTCCTCCATCCATTTCTATTCTTCACTTATCTTTCTCTCTGCATTTGGAGGGGTTCAACTAATCTGGTCCCCCTCCACTTCGGGTCACTTCTCAGTTTCCTCTTTCTACAACATACTCCATCCCCCCTCCTCTCCCACATCCCTCTCTCCCCTTATCGTTAGTGAGGCTTGTTTCTTCTTCATTCCCCCCAAAATTTAGGTCTTCTCCCGGATTGCCCTATCTGAAAGATCTCTCACTGTCGATCAGATCCAAAGGAGGGGAGTCCCCATCGCCAACAGATGTGTAATGTGTACGGCAGATGCGGAGGCCAATGCCCACCACTTCATCCACTGTGAAGTGGCCTTGACCCTCTGGGGAGACATACTCCAACTATTTAACTAGTCATGGGTCACCCTGCGATCTGTTCCCCACCTTTACCCAATATCTCTACCCTGTCCCATGGTTGAAATCAGGTTCCCTCCTGTGGTGTGCCTCCATTGCAGCCACTCTATGGGTTCTTTGGATGGAGTGCAAAAACAGAACTGTTAAGGGAGAGAGGATCACCATTGAAGCTCTTAAGGCCTGGATAAGATCGTTGGTTATCCTTTGGGCCAATAACAACAACCTTTTCCGACATCTTGCCTGTGCTGATTTTCTTCTTAATTGGCAAACGTTGCTCATTTTAAGTCCTGCTCGTGTACCCCGAACCTGGTCAAGCTGAATTTTGATGGTTGCTCACTCAGGAACCCAGACCCAGCTGGGATTGGTGGCATCTTTAGAGACCATCTCGGTGTCATGCTGACATCCTTCTCCAGATCCATCAGCCACACCAACTCCATCATGGCAGATGTCATCGTGCTCCTCGAAGGGCTATGCATTTTCAACCTCAGTCGGGGCCTGACTCTAATCATAGAAGGGGATGCAAAAAATGTCATCTCCTGGTCGTCTCGCTCTTCCCCTTGCCCTTGGAGGTTGTCTCACATCTTCGACAAGATCTTCCATATTTGTAGGCCTATTATTGTTTCATGGTGACAAACGTGGTGCGAGGCAAACTCAGCAGCAGATGCCCTGGCTAAAGCAGCAGTATCACAGCACCAAGATGGGGCCCTTGTAGAACCGCATTAAGTTCCTGGATCACCATTCTTGTGTACCTAAAAGAGCTACTGTAAAGCATTTTTTGGACTCTCCTTTGTGGTAAAATTTTATACAGAGCACCCAACTTGTGGGTTTACCCATTTCTTGTACAATGGATACTTCCTCTTCAACACAAAATAAACAGTTTAAAAAAAGTACATGCGCATGTGTATAATAATGGTGTACACAGACCGACCATCCACTTTCTGTCATCACTAGTGGACTGTAGAGATGAGTGGCATTTCTGCTCAAGTCCACTTTTGTCTGTCATAGTAACAGCAGTTTGTCTTGGATGCCCATTGACGATGATAGATGATGAAAGGACACTCATGCATCTTTTGCATGGCTACACGGTTAGCAATGAGTGCATCCACTTTAGATTCCAAAGTTGGATCATGGGGATGGACTGTGGTTCTGATGATGGGCATCATTTTGATTTGCAATTGTTCATAGTTTACAATGACATAAAAATCTCAAAGTCCATGTGACACTGACTTGCTAGTCCTCTGCAGCTCTTGGGACGTTTCTGGAATGATCCAAATGGACATATGACGATCGCTCTTTGTGGTGTTTTTTTTTTTTGACATGTTAACAGGTAGGAATGGAATCATTGATGTTACATGGTGGCTCTGCGACATTGACCACCCAGGACAAGGGCCAATTCCTAATGGCTGCTCGCTCTTTGTTCCCATGTGCTGCCTTCCAAGCAATTCTGCCTCCATTTTGTGGGCATAAAACACTTCAAAACAAACCCAGTGCAGGACTTATAAAGAACAAGGGTGAAGCATAAAAAGGCAGGCGAATCATCTTGTAATATTGTTATGAACATTGAAACACACAATCACGGGAAGAGACCAATCCCAAAAAACAGTCCTAAGAGCCATCTTGTGCCGCTCCCTCCTTAGCGAGTGTGTCAGCCGCTTGGTTTCCTTCCCTCCAAATATGCCTCCATAAGACCTGCGTATCCCTGCAAAGGCGGTTAATCTCATAAAAAATATGAGCTAGGACCCAGTGTGGGGAAGAATATTTGGAAGCCCAAGCAATAACGTTCTTGGAGTCTCCTCAATGGTGAGGGACTCGAATGTGACGGTAGGAAGGAGCTTGACATCCTCATGTCGCGTGGTTTCCTCTGCCCCCATAGAGTTCGAATAACTTATGAATTTAGAAATGGACGCAATAGTGGATCCTGAGTGATCCCTGAGTATAGCGCCAAGTCCTTTTTCCTTTTACCAACTGAGCTAGTAGGCCAGAAGAGTTGATTGGAGTTCTTCTTCCAAGCTTAGCAATGGCCAATATGCTTGGGTTTGTGAATGTAATTGAGAGCCAAATTTGGACTACTACTTCTGGTTCATTATTTATTTTGTTTCACTTGTGACTTTGTTTTATGTGGTGCTTTGAAAACCTTGGCTCTCTACCTTGGTAACGTTTACAACTTCTTGTTGGCAATACTTTAAGAGCGCTTGTACTATGCTCCTGCGAGAGCATACTCTGCATTTACTCCTCCTCCAGGAAGACTTAAGAGGATTTTTTGATCTCAAAATTTGGGAAACACTAAGTATCCTTATTTGATTTATTTCAAAATAAAAACTGTGGATTTTGAGTTCTCTAAACACTTGGACCCCACCCTAAAACAATTGGATGGTCTCTATTCAATCTTGATGCATTTTATTTTCAAGCATATAGTGGAATTTCTTTCTTTTTTTCTCTTGAGGTTAGTCTATAGGTTGAAGACTTTACATCCCCAAAATTTGTGGTCCTAAAAATACTCCTTGATTGGGTTTTACCTGATGAAATAAATGCAGAATATGCTCCCACGGGAGCATGGAACCTTTTGGCTTTCTTTAATATGAACAGAGTGAAAATATATGTCATTGATATCAAACATGGAACATTATTTTGCGGTTTCGCCTTTTATGTATGCCATGCAGTTTTTGTTTTTGTTTTTGTTTTTAATCTTTTGTATAAGACTACTTATGATTTGTCTTGGCTCCAGAAAATTAATCATGTTTGTCAACCATATCCATGTCATCCTTGGTGAATTGTTTCTAGTGCTCAATGATTTACTTTGATTCTTGATTGTATATGCCTTTATTCCTGTCATGTTTTCTATTTAAATTTTAATAGATCCTTGTTTCTTCTACATGTTGCGAAAGCTGAAGAACATGCTTCACTTTGAAGAATATGTACTTTTTGAGCACATGCATGTGTGAAATGCATTGCATGTAAAATTATGTTGGTTCCATTGTGATTACTTAACATGGAAGTACGTTAGTCGAAGCTTGTATGAGATACTGTTTCATTGCCAGAACTTGTTCCTCTGCTGCATCATAAAACAATAGTAGCATCCAAAAATTACAAGCTTGTATGAGATACTGTTTCATTGCCAGAACTGGTTCCTCTGCTGCATTGTAAAACAACAGTAGCATCCAAAAATTACAATGATCGACTTCTGCAGACCACCACTGTAGGGGAACCCTCAATGGACCTAGTTTTTGATGCACTTCAAAGAAGGTTCCTTGGGTTTTCACCGCAGTCATAAAATGGACAAGGAGAGAAGTCACGTGTTTCAGGCCTCTTAAGGTGTTGTTTCCAACTAGCCAGACTGAAACCTTAAATTCCTTTTCCAAATGCCATCTTTTTTCCTCATACGTATACTAAATAACATGATTGTAAACCTTCTACACAACACTAATTTTGGATTCTTTTTTTCAAAATGAACATCTATAGAGGTTTGGGTGTTACGACTTCTACAAAAAGAAGAAGTTTGTGCAAAGAAAGTGGGACATGTGAAGATGCACGAGTTCGTGAGGAACTATGCTTCACTTCTCTGGGGTTCTGCACTCCTCTCCTCTTTTGCCCATGGATAAAGAGATAGAGTACATAAAGCCATGTACTACAGAAATAGATGGAAATACAAGTAAAATGACACTATTTCCCTGTGACTACCAACATGCTTTTCTCACACTGATGTTCTTTATTCATGAACATCAGTTTGTTGACCAAGATTTGAGAGTGGCTTTGTCTGCGGACAGGTATTTATAAGAAAGATGCATATGTTCATGAGCAAATTTCTTTGGTTAAGTGGCTATTTCCCTAATTGTTTTTGTGCTTCCACGAAAACTGAATTAAAGGAAACCTGGACCGAACTTCGAATATCAAATTGGAGTTGGAGTTGTCATGAGAAATTTGTATCTTTGTAACCCATGTAAACAAATAACCTTACTACAGGTAGAAGGCATCTCAGATACCCTGATTTGATATTAGATTTAAATGGTATGTTTGTTTCTTACACTTTCGACAATAGTAAATAATGTCCAGCACAATTGGCATCTCGAAACTCAATTTGGGATGATGAGGGAGAGAAGCGTGATCTACTAAACATGCCCTTAAAATACCAAATAATCATTTGAACAAGTGATGTGTGCATGCACGATAAGCTAAGAACATGCACTTTATGCGTGATGTCAATGATATATGATGTCAAATAAACGTAATAGTAGTGCTTTCTAACACATCTCCATCATCTTTAGAGGACTTGAAGGGGAATGAACCGTCTTATTAGCAGTGAGATTAGCAAGTGCAAGGATATTCTTTTCATTTCTTATTGGCTTATAAATACCCATTTTAAGGCTAAGAACTTCAAGTTGTAAGAAATATGTCATTACACCTTGATCCTTCATTTCAAACTTCCTCTCTAGGAGATGCTGGTTGTGATCTATGCCCTCGTGGTCACCCTCGGCAGCATGTCATCGACATAAACTGGTTGTAAAACAACACCTTAGTATGTTTAAAGAGGTGTTATACCCACTTTGATTCAATCCAACATGAATAATATAATGAAATTTCTCGAACTGCATGCTAGGTGCGCGTTCAAAACTTGTAAGCCTTTCTGCAGCTCACAAACTTAGTGGTGATTAGCAGGTCACTGGATTGTGCAGGAGGAAGCAACTGGATTCTTTATTCGTAGAAATAGAGTTCCGTGGGAGTGTCAGTATAGATTTGAATGGAGTAGGCTTATTCTGGTTCCAGACTGTCTTTGGCAAGCATATTCACATTTTACTTTATGGGTTTTGAGCTAATTCTTTCTTACTAGATAAAGCAAACCATAGTACCATGAGCCTTGGAAGATGCAAAATAGTTAATGCCGAAAAATTAATTGGATAATGAGATTTAATGCATATTTTAAAGTTAGGTGGATCTTTGCTTTAAATCTTTGTGTTGCTCACGGTGTTCTCGTTTAAGGTATAAGGAAGGCTTGAAGTTATCTTTTTCTGTTTGTAGCAATAACTTCTGGCATTTGACAAGTTAACTTCATTTTACAGACCATGAGGCCCATGGGAATTCTATCTTGGGCAAAGCTTGCCTTCTGAGTTCAATGCCTGCCTTTAGAGAAGTGGTCCATGTAATTCCAATGTTTGCCTTAAATGACGCATACACAATTAGCAGTTGGACATGTCCTTGGTGATATACACAACTTCACTATTGAAGTATGACTTGCAAAGATAAAATTGGCAAATCTTTCCAGTGGCATACATCTATTTCACTCACGTGGCAGCTATTAATTGGAAAGGGGATTGTATACTATGAGACCATTCACCTTTGGTATAAGGACGTCACAATCATCCTTAACAATCGATTGTAAACTCTAACGCCATGGGGTGCGTCACAAAGTCAATGGCACTCATTCAACCACCTGATTTGATGTCCAATATCCGAGGGTAATTGTGACTTCCCTATATCAAATGTAAATGGTCTTATTTTATACTTTCCCTTGAAAAAATTGCTTTCTTTTCTTCACTTGTACTTTATGACATGCACTATTCTATGTGTCTTGCATCAAATTGTTGTTATTGTTGTAAATGCATTTTGGTGTGATAAGTCATGAAAAAGTAAATTTTTGGAGTATATGGAGCGAAGTATTTGTATTTGGAACATGGCAATGATGAAGGTTGTCGATGCCAGTGGGCCACCAGGACTTCCAAGTTTGTTATAGTAAGGCTGTCACTGGTCGTATTTCAGGGTGTTATGCTTTTCACTTGATGAGGAGGTATGCCATTTCTATTGGTAGAAAGCAAAATCCTTGATGTTTTTTTGTGTTTGTTTGTTTTGCATGATGTGGATTATAGCCTGCCTCCATCAATTCTCTTAAACAAGTACACGTATTTCTCAAGTAATATAAAGGCATGCGATGACCTATTAGAAAGAGAGCGCCTACTTGTTAAGGAAAACACGTATAACATGCTATCGTATACCCAATCACCCGATCTTATGGTTCAAATTCGCTTATTTACTGCGCAACAGTCATCCAAAAGAAAAGACTCTCTCTCAAGACTTGTTCTTGGCAGCAAGCCCAGCCTGTCATTGTGAATGAAAGCTAGTGAGCATCGGATCAAAAGGTGGTAGGTTCTCTCCAATTAATGGAACATCCAACAAATCACTGGTACATACTCGAAGCCGATGAAAATCCCCAGGTCAATGAACTTTTACACTCCCAACCTCTGTGAGAACTTGTGGCCAACATGAAACCCAATGCTGAAGAATATCGGAAAGTACAATCATGTTGCCTTTGAAGAACTTCCCCTCTAGGCCTTCTTCCAAAAACCCAATGCTGAAGAATATCGGAAAGTACAATCATGTTGCCTTTGAAGAACTTCCCCTCTAGGCCTTCTTCCAAAATTGAAAGGGACTAGAGCAATTCTTGGACAACCTTCTCTTGTTCATCTCCCTCTGAGTATGACATTCTCCATAGAAGAGGAAGCATCTCTACAAGCCAAAAAGAAAAGAGAAGTATGGGATAGAATGTAGGATTTTCACATAGAGGTTCATTGGTCACGCATATTGTTGTCTGGTACAGCCTTAATTTGCATGAAATTTGTGTCGTTTTGGCACTTGATGACAATGGAAAGAGGAAAGTATGTATCATAGAATGTTTATGCATTTGCACTGGTCAGAGAGAGAGAGAGAGAGAGAGAGAGTAGGTAGTAGTAGGAAGTAACTA